AATTTTGCAGGTAGCTTTTTAATATTAATATAAATCTATAATAACAAATTCAACATGCTTGCATCGTTTATGTATATAGCCTGTACATCCTTAAATTGAAAAATGATTACATTGGTCGATTCAACGATCATTCAACGATTCAATGGTCATTCTTATGTTATCAAAAACTGTTTATCTCTAATTTTCTGTTCATTTCATTAAAGCGCGATATTATTATGTTTAATCACATGACACTTGTAACGCGAATATGTAGTTAACTATTATACAATGACTATATTTATTGCAGCCTGACCGAGCTATAAATTAATGTAAATGTGTGACTGAGTATTTATAGACGCTACGTGATGCTGTATTTGCGGTACGTAAATCATAGCCGTGTGACCGCGTTGATAAAATTTGTCACGGCTCTGCCGGATGAAGTAACGCGTAATAAATTCGAATGCGAATAATGGAGAACGATCTTATTAAACTGTAATACTGAAACAGCGTTCAAGCGTGGCTCCCTATCGATCACCAGACAATTTCGTCGAAAGTTTCAACTCTGTTCACTGAACTTCCTCAATCGACTGATGTTATGGATCGTGTAATAAGAGAGAAGAGTATGAGAGATGATTATAAATCAAGACCTGCTATTACTTGGTTCCTTTTCTCAACTAATGTCATTAAAAGGGATGAATGTTAATACGTCATAATGAAAGAATTCATTAAATATAAAACATCTTTGCGTGTCATTAGCGATTTTAAAATACTCTTTCAACGAAATAAATACTGTTTTATGCTTCGCAAAAGAAACTCTGGGATCTTCTTAATTTTTTGCGTCCACGTCTCGTGGTCTGTGAGAGTATTCAGACTTGATGCCTCGTTTTTTGTCCCGCTTTTAATTAACCAGAGAATAATCTCGGCGGTGTTCACAGTTTTGGGCTGCTTACGTGCCGTGCGAGTCGCAGCATCTCAACGCGGTCCAGCTGACTCTGGAGCAGGTGGACCTCATTAAGAGGCTTATAGAGAAGTACTCGCAACACATGCAGTTCGCTGCGTCCTCGAGGGGTGAGTATTTTTCGCGATTATATTCTTACGACGCACACAGACGTACGCGCATACAGGGGAACTTTTTTTATCCACTGTTTGTTGAACAAGATAAAAAAATAGAGCCAGTAAAATAAACGAACACAACTGTAACAAAAATAACGTAAAATTGAAGAGAAAGAAGCGAGCGTCAAAAATATAAATGCGTACAATTCTGAACTTTTTCCTGTTAACTATTTTTAATCATGAACGAGACGTTGACTTCACTTTCAGAGATTCTGGAGGCTCACGGAAAAGGCAGAATAGCCTCTCTGATTGGGGTGGAGGGTGGACATAGTCTAGGAAGTAGTTTAGCTGTTCTAAGAACGCTGTATCAACTCGGTGTACGGTATCTCACTCTTACGCACACTTGCAACACACCGTGGGCGAAGAGTTCGTCGGTGGAGGATGAAGACGAGGAGCGTAAGTACTAAAAGCGTCTCTGTACGCCAATAAAAATTAAAACGAAAAATTTAGTTCAATCTATGAATCGCGATTTAATAGTTAGTTAATAAAGAATCGATGAATTGTGTTTTGTTAATGATCATTTATATATTCTTAAAATTCATTAAAAGCCGATAAATAGTTTGCTTTAGGATAAATGTTGAACATTTAACACCATGAATATTGAACGAATTCAAAGTGATGAGTTTCATTGTGCCGCGGGAACGAATGTTTGAACTGTAAACAAGAGGGAAAAAAGTGGAGCACTCTTTTGTCTTAGGAGGCGGTCTGACGGCGTTTGGGAAAACGGTGGTCCAGGAAATGAATAGGCTGGGAATGCTGATAGACCTTAGTCATACAGCGAGAGCCACCATGAGGGATGCTTTAAGGGCCAGCAGAGCACCTCTCATTTTTTCTCATTCCTCGGCGTTTGCCATTTGTAATTCCACGAGAAACGTTCCCGACGATATTTTGAAGCAGCTGGTAAGCAGTAAACTTGCGCATTACGCCTTTAATTCCATTCATTTCGTTTCGATTGGCAATAAAAATAATCGAGATTAATTAACAAATGGATTGTTAAAATATATTATAGTATTTTTCATCTCTTATAATTCTTTTATCACGAGAATACGAAGAACTGCAAACTGTACATTTAGATGCTTGAAGAGTGTCAGGGATTAAATATGAGGAAATCTTGAATTACAAATTTTTTTCATAAAAGTTCATTTGCTGGAAGCATAACTCTTTCTCGGTGCGAGTGAAGGTTTTGCTAAATCGAAAGGAAAAGTGGCGGTATTCATACGCTCTCCCCCAACTAATACCCTTCCGCTTCCTCTCTGGAGGATAGATAATTATCTCCGCAGCCGGGTTTCAATGGGACGAAACATTTACCAGCGGCGCGACGCGACGATTCGTTTCTATTGTCGAGTTTTCCGCTCCATTATAAAGGATCCACCTCGTATCCCCTCGTTAGAGGACAAATTAGTAGAACTCAAAATTAACAGATCTATTTATTCCCTTGTCTCTCATTGATTCCCTCTACAATTTACTTTTAATAATTCCTTGAAATCTGTCTCCTTGAAACAGTAATTAACGATTTTTCTAAAAACATATAATTATTATATGTACTATAATATTTTTAGACAGAGTTTAAAACCTGTACCATTTTTGTAGCTCTCCGTGAAATGGTACAGTAAATTAAAATTCCGCTTGCAGGCTGCTAACGGTGGATTAGTAATGGTGACGTTTTATAATTACTTCGTGAAATGTGGCTCTGAGGCAACCGTCTCGGATGTCGCCGAGCATATTTATTACATTACAAACTTAATTGGCGTGGACCACATCGGCGTCGGCGGCGATTTCGATGGTATAAACAAGTACGTACACTTATTTTATCAACAAAATAATATAAAATATTCGTATCATATCATTCATTTCATATTTCGAATTCTGCATGACAAAATATCATTTTGCTAAAATTATTAATCATCAAAGTGCAACAAATAAATTAAAGACAGTTTCCAGTCAGTCATTGAATTTTTATCACAAATAAAACATAAACTAATAGGATAATAACAATACGACACCAGAACGATGGAGATTGAGAAGCTTGATCGAACTCCAGTCGTAAGTTTAATCAAGGGTATCACCCATAGTAATTAAGCTTCTCGCTGCGGTAGCGTCGGTCGAAAAGATTTATAGTCGTGAGGGCACAGCGTCGTGAACCTTCTTGTGGCCAGAATTTACCGCCCACGTTGGGATAATTCATCCCGTACACCTGTACAAGTTATTGTAACCCGGCGGACGAATGAGTAATAGCGTTGTAAATCTAATTACGGGATCGTAAATTTTTTTCCTATCGATATTTTGTTACGCAGCGGCTGCAGTTATTGACCGGTCATGTCTATCATTCAGAGAAGAGAAATATGATAGAAAGAAAGTTGAGATTTATCTTATTTGCATATGAATTTATAGCATCGTTCATGAGTCATTAATTCGACTCGTGTAAATGTTTTTCCAACACATTATTGGTACATTCGTAATTGATGAATGTTGTTAGAAAATCTTATGTACATGTGGCACAATAAGAATTGTATACATATATACAATTGGTTTTGTTAACAGAACGCCCCGAGGGCTCGAGGATGTTTCGAAGTATCCGGAATTGTTCGCCGAACTTCTACGAAGCGGGAAATGGAACGTGCTCGACTTGAAGAAAGTCGCCGGTCTGAATCTACTGAGGGTCCTCCGACAGGTCGGAATTTATCCGAAGTTTATTTAGATCTAAGAATTCGTAAATGGGCGAATCGTTAAAAATTATTTCAAACGACAATGTTTACCATAGGTGGAGCGAGTCAGGGATGATATGAGAACAGCAGGGATGACGCCAGCCGAGGAGTATCTGCAAGATTCGCCTGATACAACCGGCAGCTGTGCGCTCGATATCAACTCGGTACAGAGAGTCATGGAAGTTTGACTGTTCTACCAATAATGTCTTTGATTTCTCGATGGCGTGTAAATTACTTTTCGACGTGTTCCCTCCCTGCCGTCCCTATGCTCAAAGAAAAAACGGGCAGGTTTAAAATACTTAGACACATACGTCGAAGTCGGGGAGATCCTAGGGTCTAGCAGAACGAGCGAATTTAAGGGTAGAGGGCTTCCCTTTGCTTGATCCTTGCGCGCCAGCAAAGTCTGTCCCTTTTAGATGCTCAATCAGGATAATGTCGTATGTGAGAGAAAAAAGAAAACATGAAGAACCTACCTCGAACGAAATGCACAGCTTCAAATCGTCTAATTTGCTCGACAGTAGGTCTCCTATTTTAACAGCACAGACAGCTATTTTTTAACGAACGTTTTATCAAATCATCTTACCAAAAAGATTTATAATTTAGGAAATACAAAAGTTTTCGTGACCAAGTCATCATGAGTTTTGCATAAATGTATTCAAACTGCAAACTGTTTTACGAGTTACGATTTTTGTTACCTTTCGGAGAATTGTATATACATTCTTATGTTTAAATTATTATATTTATTAAATATTGTAATATATCGTGTTGCGTTTATTGAGAAAATAATTTGTATTAAAGATCAGGCTGTATCCTTTAATCTGATATTGTACATGTACATTGTATATTCATTAGTGTGTACTTAAAAATATTGTTGTACCATGAACTAACGAATTTGTTCTCGGACCGATTAATTACGAAACGAAAACACTTCACTAAATGTATTGTATCTCATTGAAAAACGACAGACTCCACAAAATGAAGATTAGCCAGGCAAAATGATCAATAATTGATAGTTTTTCATCGAAACAAATAAAGAGAACATACTACGACAATATAGAAATTCTTCTATACCATGTCATTTCTCTGTACTACAAAAAAAAAAGAAAACCAAATATTGTGTCAACCTGGCTGTGTATTTTCATACGTCTTCCTTCCTTCGTTGCACCGAAAGATATGTACGTTGTATGCGTTTTAGCGTTAAAAATTCAAGCGCAAGTTTCCGGAAGAATATGATTTAAAAAGATAAATAAACGTTACTGTACTTAATCGTTGGAGTATGAAAAGTTCCCGAAGGAAAACATATCTGATCTAAAAATTAGAAACAAAAGAATAAATGTATTCAAGAAGCGAGTCCTGTTGTTAGCAATATAAAGAGGAAATCTGTGTTATAGAGAGAAATAACGCTTTTCACGATACAAAAAGATCTTAAGTCAAAGTTGCTCACTGAAAACGTCGATAGAATTTAAACGGAAACGAAAAGTAAACGTGTATGCGTGTTTCTCAACGTGTTGTACCGGGTGTTAATCTATCACATACATATATGCATCCGAATTTTCCTCGATGGAATGCATCGTCTAATGTCTTCAACAATTTCGTCGGAAATTGCTGGGGTCGATCCGAATTGAAAGGAATTCGTTTTCTTATTCTGACCAGAATTCACCCCTGCGATTTTCGGGCGACACCGCTCACCTATCTGTGTCTCGTGTGCACTTATTAAGCGATTCATGCGAGAATCAGATCTTCGTTGATAAAAAAAAGAATAACAATGTGTAACTGACGAAGATAATCGCATGGATCGCATCTAACTCCTATAACGAGGAGCAAGTAAGGAACTTTAGAATATCAATGAATTCCGTTGTACCTTCACAACGGATCCTATGAAATAAATGTTTCTATTGTACACTTGTCATATCGTTCGACTTCTCACTTCTCCTTGCATATCTCTACTTCGCAACAAATCCGGCGGAACGCCAACCGCGAGACATTTTCGGTAAGTTTTACATCGATACTAAACTTGTTCATTTATTACATTATAGAAAAAACATTGCAGATGCGAATATTGGTTTTTGTAGAAAAGTACTGTATTTTCTTTCATTTTAATACAAAGATAAATTATATTTTGTAGAAAGCTGTTGGTTTAACTGACAGAATTCAAAGGCGCTTTGGTTTCGTTCAGTTTTCAAATCAATCTCATGATACAATAAAGATTCTAAACACAACGTAGTCCTGAGCCTGCCATAAGCCTCGACTTTCGTAAAACAATTTTTCGCCTTGGAAAGTGCTTTGATCGCTTTTAAAATCACTCCCTTCTTCGCTTTCTCGCATGTCGGAGCATTTGCGCTTAAACATTTTGCATATAAAACGAACGCCCTGCCCTGTTCGAAATATCCCCCATGCGCTAGAATTTGTGTGATTACTTCTTCAACTAAGTTTAGTGCTAAAGTTGACATGTTCATTGTTAACTGAAATAAATTAACATTTTTAATGACGATCACTTCGAACTAGGAAAGTAGCGATTGTTTCAGTTACCTGAACGTTTGCAAGATGCATTTTAATTAATGCTGCATGATAAGATAGGTGATTTTTCACAGCCAACTCAAGAGCTGTATTTAAGAGAACCAATGAGTTAGCTCCTGCAATTTCATGTTCCAGCGGAACGGATGCGCATATTATTTGACTCGAAAGAATCATAGCACGTATTTTATCTCGAGCCGTTATTTGATCATCTTTCTCAATAATGTCAATATACTCTAAAGCTTTTGGATAGTCTCCTTTTTCCAAAAGTACCTCTGCCAATCTGAATATTTACGAATTTCATTAGAATTATGTAAAATTCCATTGATACATGAAATTAGATTCAATATACACTAAGAATTATACCTGAATTTACATTCCAAAGGATCTAAGCTTGAAATATTTGACGCTATCGCTTCAGCCTCGCCCCACTTCTCCTGCCTCATCAATTGTGTGAATACATAAAGTTGTTCGCTTAGCATCCAGATCTAAAAAAGTATACCGAATTAAATATAGACGTACATATTAAAAATTGCATAACACATTTCAATTAATGTTAATGTTAGATCACAAATGATACCTTATTGCAGGGTTCATTTGGAAACCTATCTTTCGCGTGAGAAAGTACCACATCCACTAAAGAATATTCTCCAACTTCTATTAACATGTTCGCTACATTAACAACAGCCTGGCAAGTGGATGGCCCATTAAACATATGCTGTTTCTTGTCTCCCGCATTATGCAGGAGCAGCAGCTGCGCACATACCGAAGACATCTCGGTTTTACCGTAATACGCCCAAAGCGCAGATTTTTCCACGTACGTCATTGACATAAGATCTATCATGGAATGTTGACAATTTAAAACATCAGATTTCATCAGGGTCTACAATTAAACTTTAAACGATTTAATTTTAAGCAAGTATGAAATTTATTTGTAATGAATGAGGTAACAATAAGAATACGTACCTCGAACACTATCGATGGATTTTTAGCTTCTAAAGCAGAATTATGGGCATATGCAATGAGACCCAATCCAGTTGTGTGAGTTATTCCTAACATACTGGCTTTTCCAACCGATCTTTCTATAAGAGGTCCTCTGTGAGATAGGAAAATAACGATAATTAACACGTCACCTAAAATTGTACATATGTAATAGTATTTTAAACTTGCTTTCGCTTAGTAGTCAAATGATACATCCAAGCGTGTGCCAGCTGCAAACAAACATTGTCTCCAGCCTCCTGGGCCATCATGACAGCTTCCTTTAAAGCAGCTTGGGCTACTTCCCTTTAAAAAAATGAATAAAAAGATGTTAACTCACGTAGGCACCTGATTATAAGATTAGTTACTAAAAATATATACAAGAACGTACTTATGATTAAACTGTGCATGTAGAACTGCTAAATTTAAAGCCGCATATCTGAAAATACGAGATCTGTCCTCAGGTACTGAACGATTCTCCAAAGGTGCTAGCCTGTCAAAGCAATGATAAAGGCTATCTATGGCTCCACAATATTCATTGACTCTTAAGCAGTTTAAGTAACTCAAGTAATGCTAAAATTCAATAAAAACACATAAGTTGATTATATTGAAATGAACCATCTAAATGAAGAAAAGGAATTTTTCTAACATTGTACTCACAGCTTCAGCATAGTAAGGACTACAACTTAAGAGTTCTTGCACGAGAACTTGTAGCTCTGCAGGAGACATTGCTTTATGTTCATCTGTCTGTAGCGCATGTGCTTGCTGCGCTACAAGTAATTCAGCCTGCCTTCCACCCCAAGTTGTTTTAATTCTATTAAAAGATAGACAAACATTTTTGTACATTTAAATACAAGATATATGTATAATAAAGTTAGTTCATATAAGCAGGAAATACATACTCATTTGAATATAAATCTTCTGATTTAGAAATTGTTGATATATCAGACTCTTCAGAGATATTAGCCCTTCTATCAAGGTATTTCTTCAAAGATTCATAAAGAGCTACGACTTGATCGAACGGTAGTTTCTCAAAGAAAATTATAATTCTCCTAATATATAAACCAAGGACAGAATTTTTACTTAAAGTAGGTAACGACAGGGAATGATCTAATGACGATTTCATCAAGTTTCCAACACTTTCGAATAAATCTAATAGCCCGTCTATTCCTTTTCCTTTTAGGACAATCAATTGGACTCCTAATTGATGTCCAAATCGTTGTAAGTCATATTCAGGGGAATATAATATATTCATAAGTGCATCGAGTTCCATGTCAGGTGACTAATAATGAGAAATAATCTTTTTAGATTGTCTTAATATTAATAGAATTTTATGATGAATGAATGTCTTATTTTATTTATTGAAGCTTACTTGAATCAGTTTCAATGCTGCTAAACAAAAGTCACGTCGTTCAGCAATTGCTGCAACGAGATATAAATATTTATTACAATTAGTACAGCCAAGCTTATATTTAGTCCGAATAATAAACAATTGTTAACAGAAAATATTACAATTTATTATTACTATAAATGTAATACAATTATTAGTTTTACAGTGTTTTAAGTAATTTACATTAAGCTAGTTAAAAATACTAGTTTGTATACCTTTTGTTGTTTCAATACAGTACTCTTGTATCAAAATGACTGTTGCTATCTTATAAGGTGTTAATGTTTCCTTTTGCACCCTTTTTATATTGCCGTCAATATTCATCAAATCCGTGGACATCGTGAATAACATTATATTAAGTGACAAAGTGTACGTTCGAAATATTTACACTTTTCATTGCAGACATCAAAACACAACACTTGCTCCAGCTCTCGAGACTCGACGACTCGATCCAAATGATTCGAGCGGCCTCTACTTGATCAGGTTTTGTATGAACTCTCGTCGGTCAAGAATCATGCGCTCGAGATTAAAATACAGAGGTTTGCTTCTATTCAAATCTAATCACAATTTACCCATTTTTACAATACATTACTACACTTATAGATTCGACACTATCTTAAAATAATTTCGATAAGAAATTTTGATAAAAAAAAATATGGGATTATTTTTAACAGTCTAAACAGCAATATAATTTAATTTCAGAATATTCTCCGGTAATTGAAACATTGAAGGTAATCGATAAAGATTTTATTTTTGTACATGATTTTTTTACATTTATTACATGATTATCCTTACGTAAATATATATTTTTTCATTTCTAATCTTCTTATCGTTTCTTCCGTAATTTACGACAGATACTACATAACGTCGTAGGTCTAAACCTGAAAATATGTTATAAGTAATAAATAAAGTTAAATGACCGTTTGATGATTGATACATGTTGACAAGTTCTTAAATGATGTAAGAAATATATAATTAAGTAATAGTTCACCTGAAATAATAATCAATTCATGCATATGAGCATACGAAGCCTGCAGGAGCCACTATACATCGTTGCGTAGTCGCATCAAATATTAACTTGTTAGGACACTTCATATTTTTGTACATTTTCAGCTGCGTTCCGTCGTAGTAGCAATAGTAGTACTTGTTGCATAATTTAGCACTCGTGTTTGGGAACCTGCCTGGTCCCGTACATGTAAAAGTTGGTTTCTTAGTTGTCGTCGTTGTTGACGGAATAGTTGTCGTTGTTGATGGAGTAGATGATGATTGTTGAATCGAGTCGGGTATGAAGATGAAAATCAAAAGAATCACGAATATCACCGAAAACGCCTTCATGTTCCCTTATTACTTTTGCTTTCTCTTATTTTCTTCACTAATCCTTCTATGTCTTCGTTATTAGTTTCTCACAGTGTTGATAGATCCACTTTCTTGTTCACTATGATTTTGAATGGGCTCGTGGACCAAATATAAGAACTCTGTCGAATTTATTGTTTTAGTGTTTTACGAGATAATTATAGAGGAACTAACTCTAGTTTATGAGCAAGTAATACGTATCATAGCTTCCGTAATCATGTTTGAGGCATTGCAAATGTCATTGTTAATGCTTTCTCGGAATTCTGCAATTCGTATGGAGTAGATTTTGAAGACATCTAACATATGTGAAATCATGTGCAATACATATAATATCGAAAATATACGAAGTATTCCAAGGAAAATATTACAATTTATTATTACTGTTTATTTACGTTGCAAATTACTCTGCATTGCAGATTTCAAAATATCTTAAAATCGATGCGATAAGAGGTTTTGATAAAGAAAGTGTAGGAATATTTTTAACAGTGTGAACAGAAATATATTTTAATTTCTGAATATTCTTAGTAATTAGAATATTGAAGACAATCGTTAAAGATTTTATTTTCTTACATA